CACGTAGAGAGAGAGAGAGAGAGAGAGAGAGAGAGAGAGAGAGAGAGAGAGAGAGAGAGAGAGAGAGAGTCAGCTACCATAGATGAGGATGCTAGTATTGGGTTGCTGAATTCTGCGCCGTCGAGCGATTGGCGACTGGATCTCCGAAACTGTTTAATGCGATAATTTATTGGGGAATTTCTAAGCTGCGCATATCTACGACGTTGCATCTCTGGACTCCAGTGTGGATCTCGTGTAATCTCTCAATGTGTGTGTGTGTGTGCGCTCATGGCGTCGAGCAGTGAGGCTCAATGCATTTCAGAGCCTTCGGCTTTGTAAACTGTGGGGGTATTAGATAGCCTATTTTATAGACAGATAGCAACTCTGCATTTTTTGTGACAGTTAGAAATTACTAATTAGACATCATATAGCAAATTTTTGATGAATAGTTTTGTGTCTTTAATCTGCAGCTGTAGATTGTTAGAGGCATACGTAATAGAGGCATTTTGCCCCTTGAAACTTTTTTTCTTTTCTTTTCTTTTCTACTCTCATTTTCTACATTGCGTTTTGCTAAGGGGGAGGGGTTCCACCTGACAAAGCAGGATTGGAGGCCTTGCGGCCCCTGAATGTGCACACAACTACTTTAATGATGTGTTATGCCTTGGGCACTGGACCCTAATAAAAAAAACTCTTTCATTTGATAATTAAAAAAAAAAAAAAAAAATCTTTGCTTGCTGGTAGTAAGCTGCCGGACTGCCGCCCCCCAGAATGTAAGGGGCACCTGCGTGAGTGTATGGTTCCGGCGGAAAAGGGAAACAAAAAAAAAAAAAAAAAAAAGTTGAAAGTTCCATGAAGCTCCATCCAACCCCACCTTGTAATCTGCCGATGCGATCCGGTCAAAAGTATCAGCTGGTACCAAGTCCTCAAATTGCAAAATGGGCGCTGATGATGCTATGGCCCCCACAGCAATGTGAGGGTACTTAAGGCGCATCCATGCGGCCAGCACTGCCAACAGATTGGCAACAAGACAAATCAATCACACGCCATATCCATATCAAAACCCTTTCTCGACATCAAAATCCTTTCTCAGGAAACGAAAAAACGAATAAAAACCAATAATAATAACGGCAATAACAAT